TAGTTTTCTATTTTAATGATTATTTGCCTAGAGTTACTGAAGACTGTGATGTGAAGGATATTCAGGACATGTTTTAATAATATTGATATTTAAAGAACATTAATAATGGCATAGAGTGTGTCATTGTCACTCGTGTGTGTGTGTGTGTGTGTGTGTCGTCGTTCTTAAGTGTGTTTCCATCAATAGGAAGGAGACGCGAGCGCTCGAGTCGCGCCGAAACTCGGGTCACATTTCACACACTTTCCTAAATAATCTCAGAAATCACTCTGTGTTTACGGCCGATTGTCCAAAAAATCAATAGCTTTTAAAGCTGAGCTTGATTCACACTCGGCTCCTGCCGTTTGCCTTTTGTAAAGCACAGAAATCAATGTCACACTTTTAAAATCATTTGCTGAACTTAGAGAATCGTGAAAAGGATAAATGTGTTTGTGTTTCTCTGATATCGACCTCGAGGGTTACAGTCTTTTACCCGTCGCTCCTTCACACACACACACACACACACACACAGAAACCCTGATCCCGTTTCTCCGGGTCTGGAAGCTCGTGTCCGCCACTCCAGGATCAAAGCATCGGTGAGAGGAGAAGAGCAGATGAAAGAGTCTCAGAGTCACATGATCACAGCGTCACACACACACACACACACACACACACACACACACACACTCTTCTGTCGGGTGAAAACAAGTCTGAAATACGCAGTGGTGGAGGAAGTACTGAATATCAGTATTTAAGTAAAAGTACAAATAACCAGATAAATATTTACTTTAGTAAAAGTACAAGTAACACAATGACAACCATACGCAAGTAAAAAGTACCTGATTTTAAATGTACTTTAAGTATTAAAAGTAAAAGTACTTGCATAACAATTGATTCTCTTAATGACTATTTTTTTCTAATGATTAATAAAACATTTAATTCTAACTCGTTCCACCTAATACTCCTATAATGATGTTCAATAATTATGAAAAAAAATAGTTGTCACCATTTCTCAAACAAGCTTGCAATTAGGCAATATACACATCATGCTTATCCTTACGATATATTAATAACGATGTTTGGCAGTAAACGCGATTAATTTATGGTGTAATTCTGAACCTCTTGGCTTGCCATAATCCTAACCAAACGTATATTACACACGGTGTGTTTCCTATGCACGTAAAAACAAAATTTCGCGTATGAGTTGCACGATAAACACACTGCGTGCGAGACGCATTTAGTTGATGTATCTATGGCAACCAAACGTCACTGGTGAGACAAACGTGCAACGAACGGACGGTCAGATTACGTTTTAGCAGGGGAAAAACTGATCAGAAAATGTAATGAAAAAGTAACAGAAGTTGTAGAAATGTAGTGGAGTAGAAAGTATAATAATTGCTGCAAAATGTAACGAAGTAAAAAGTAAAAAGTATGCACTATTTATTCTACTTAAGTAAAGTAAAGATACGTGAAAAATGTACTTAAGTAAAGTAAAGATACGTGAAAAATGTACTTAAGTAAAGTAAAGATATGTGAAAAATTTACTTAAGTAAAGTAAAGATACGTGAAAAATGTACTTAAGTAAAGTACAGATATGTGAAAAATGTACTTAAGTAAAGTACAGATATGTGACAAATGTACTTAAGTAAAGTACAGATACGTGAAAAATGTACTTAAGTAAAGTAAAGATACGTGAAAAATGTACTTAAGTAAAGTAAAGATACGTGAAAAATGTACTTAAGTAAAGTACAGATATGTGAAAAATGTACTTAAGTAAAGTAAAGATACGTGAAAAATGTACTTAAGTAAAGTACAGATATGTGAAAAATGTACTTAAGTAAAGTAAAGATACGTGAAAAATGTACTTAAGTAAAGTAAAGATACGTGAAAAATGTACTTAAGTAAAGTAAAGATACGTGAAAAATGTACTTAAGTAAAGTACAGATATGTGAAAAATGTACTTAAGTAAAGTAAAGATACGTGAAAAATGTACTTAAGTAAAGTACAGATATGTGAAAAATGTACTTAAGTAAAGTAAAGATACGTGAAAAATGTACTTAAGTAAAGTACAAATACGTGAAAAATGTACTTAAAGGGTTAGCTCACCCAAAAATGAAAATTCTGTCAGTATTTACTCACCCTCATGTTGTTCCAACCCCGTAAGACCTTCGTTCATCTTCGGAACACAAATTAAGATATTTAGGATATTAAAATCGCTCCTGCATACAGTCCATAGGCTTCTTGAGGGACTGGCTCTTGCCGTCCCCGAAAAGTCATAAAAGACATCGTTAAAATAGTCCAAGTGACTACAGGGGCTCAATCTTAAGTTTATCAAACGACGAGAACACTTTTGTGCGCAAAAAAACAACAAAAATAACGACTTTATTTCAACTATTCGTTTATTTCTCCCTCTGCGCGAGTCAGTTAACTAGTTTAATAGCGTAAGCTTCTGTTATTGTACGTCACACGCATCACACACACATGACCAGCGTCGACCAATAGTGAGCCTACGTGTGACGTAGCTCTACGCAATCACACTACGTTAACGGACTATAGGCTTATGGAGAAGGAAGTGAATAGTTGTAATAAAGTCGTTATTTTTGTTGTTTTTTTGCGCACAAAAGTGTTCTCGTCGTTTGATAAACTTAAGATTGAGCCCCTGTAGTCACTTGGACTATTTTAACGATGTCTTTAATGACTTTTCGAGGACAGCAAGAGCCAGTCCCTCAAGAAGCCTATGGACTGTATGCAGGAGCGATTTTAATATCCTAAATATCTTAATTTGTGTTCCGAAGATGAACGAAGGTCTTACGGGGTTGGAACAACATGAGGGTGAGTAAATACTGACAGAATTTTCATTTTTGGGTGAGCTAACCCTTTAAGTAAAGTACAGATACGTGAAAAATTTACTTAAGTAAAGTAAAGAAGTAATTGTACTTCGTTACATTCCACCAGTGGTAATACGTGAGCAGCGTTACACTCTGACGCCACACACACTCCTCAGTGACATTAGATTGGACCACACCCACCTGTTACATCATCAACACACGGACCAATGGGAGCTCAGAGATGTTCCCCAGCACTAGTGAACTTTTCACGGAGAGTTATTTCAAACTCATAAAACCAACTTTGTTTTGGTCTGACTCTTCGAGATAACATCACTCCGATGTGTTAGTGTGTGTTTGTGTGTGTCTGTGTGTGTTAGTGTGTGTCTGTGTGTGTCAGTGTGTGTTAGTGTGTGTCAGTGTGTGTTAGTGTGTGTCAGTGTGTGTTAGTGTGTGTTAGTGTGTGTCATCTAAATCACCCTGCATCTTCTATTGTGCTATAGTGTCGTGTCGTTCACCTCCCGCATTATAAACATGCGTAACACACACACACACACACACACACACACACACACACACACCTCTGACTGCAGGAGCGAGTTATAGTGAATGCCACTATCATCTCTGTGTGTGTGTGTGTGTGTGTGTGTGTGCTCATCTCCTGCGTTCGGTTCTGAAGGCTGTCAGTGTGAGGATGAACATGTTTATAGAGATTATAATAACGTGACGATCAAGGATAACTCTTATTATTAGGAAAATATCTTACATAGTTTCTGAAAGGCTCTACTACATTAAAATATACAATCTTTCTCCGTCTCTCTCTCTCACACACGCAAAAACACAAACACACACTCTCTCTCACACACACACACACACACACACACACACACTCTCTCTCTGGATGAGGTTTAAGGCCATAATAGGATCAATTTCCATTCACACTTCTGAATCTGAACTCTATTTCTCTGGAACTTTACATTATCCCTCCTATTTGATCCAGTCAGGGTTCAATTTTCACTCTGGACACACACACACACACACACACACACAGAGAGAGAGAGAGAGCGAGAGAGAGAATCACATACTCTTTCTCTCTCACACACACACACACACACACACTCACAGTAACATTTTTATGATGCATTGCCATTCAAACATTTTGTGTAAGAAAGAAACAAAAATGATCAAAAGTGACAGTAAAGACATTTATAATGTAGCAAAAGATTATATTTTAAATCAATGCTGTTCTTTTAAACTTTCGACTCATCAAAGAATTAAAAACACTGATAATAATCATAAGTGTTTCTCGATCATCAGATCCTCATATTAGAGTGATTTGTGAAGGATCATGTGACACTGAAGACTGGAGTAATGATGCTGAAAATCACAGGAATAAATTACACTTTACTGTATATTCACATAGAAAACAGATGATTTACATTACAATAATATTTCACTATTTTTACTGTATTTTTGATCATATAAACACAGCTTTGGTGAGCAGAAGAGACTAAATAAAGAAACATAGAAATATCGTAATTATTCCAAAGTTTTGAACAGTAGTGTATTATACAAAACGGATTGTTCTGATTATTATATTAATAAATGCAACAGTTCATCGAACAGTGTCTTTAATCATCTGCTGTTTTATAAAAGCGATAAGTCAGTTATTATTATTAAGCGTCAGGAGGATTATTTCAGCGACGGGAACTTTAACAGTTTTGAGAAGCGCGAGCATGTGTGTGTGTTTGCAGTGTGTGTTTGCAGTGTGTGTTTGCAGTGTGTGTTTGCAGTGTGTGTTTGCAGTGTGTGTTCGGATCCTCGTCCTTGACTCTTCACACCTGACAGCAGAAAGCTCGCTAGATGATTAAATGCAAATGCAAGGAAGTCAGACTTGAAGATGCAGATAAAAACACACACACACACACACACACACACTACAGAGGACAAACAGCAAAGACAGTGGGAACGTGACAGAAGTTTGATGTGGAAAGAGATGTAAACTCTCTGAATGTGTTTCATCATCATATTCACAACAACGACACGCATCGCAGAAAAAACACATTTGGAAAGGTCAGAGAAACAGCGGCTCAAGAAACACTGATTTACAAATCATGACAATCGTCATCATCTTAGACCTGTGTGTGTGTTGACCCACAGTAAGACACTAACGGTGTGTGTGTGTGTGTTGTCGCTCAGAGCCGATGCACGGGCCCCGTCAGCTGAAGGTGGTGGACATCAAGTCTCGGCAGGTGACGGTTCGCTGGGAGCCGTTCGGCTACAACGTGACGCGCTGCCACAACTACAGTCTGACGGTGCAGTACCGGGCCCGCACCCGAGCCGGAGCCGGGGCGAAGGAGGAGAGCAGGGAGGTGTCGTCCAGCTCCACACCTCAACACACCATACACAACCTCACGCCCTTCACCAACCTCAGCGTCAGGATGGTCCTGCGCAACCGAGAGGGGGTCAAGGAGAGTCCCGAGATACACGTGCAGACCGACGAGGACGGTGAGCGGGAAACTGGAACAACCTATATAACAATTATATATATATATATACTGTATATGTGTGTTTGCATAATATGGGGGGGGGCAAAAATGAATTACTAATATGTCAATCTGAGTATATAGTTACAAATCTGAATATATAGTTACAAATTTGAACATTCGAACATTTAGTTATAACTCTGAATATATAAATGTAAATCTGAATATATAGTTACAAATCTGAATATATAAATATAACTCTGAATATATAGTTACAAATCTGAATATATAAATGTAAATCCGAATATGTAGTTGTAAGTCTGAATTTATAGTCACAAATCTGAATATATAGTAACAAATCTGAATATATAAATATAACTCAGAATATATAGTTATAACTCTGAAAATATATTTACCAATTTGAACATAAAAATGTAAATCTGAACATTTAGTTATAACTCTGAATATATAAATGTAAATCTGAATATATAAATATAACTCTGAATATATAGTTACAAATCTGAATATATAGTTACAAATCTGAATATATAGTTATAACTCTGAATATATAATTACAAATCTGAATATATAGTTACAAATCTGAATATATAGTTATAACACTGAATATATAGGTACAAATCTGAATATATAGTTACAAATTTGAACATTTGAACATTTAGTTATAACTCTGAATATATAAATGTAAATCTAAATATATAGTTGCAAATCTGAATATATAAATATATCTCTGAATATATATAGTTACAAATCTGAATATATAAATGTAAATCCGAATATGTAGTTGTAAGTCTGAATTTATAGTCACAAATCTGAATATATAGTAACAAATCTAAAAAATATATATATATTACTCAGAATATATAGTTATAACTCTGAAAATATATTTACCAATTTGAACATAAAAATGTAAATCTGAACATTTAGTTATAACTCTGAATATATAAATGTAAATCTGAATATATAAATATAACTCTGAAAATATAGTTACAAATCTGAATATATAGTTATAACTCTGAATATATAGTTACAAATCTGAATATATAGTTACAAATCTGAATATATAGTTATAACTCTGAATATATAGTTACAAATCTGAATATATAGTTACAAATCTGAATATATAGTTATAACACTGAATATATAGTTACAAATCTGAATATATAGTTATAACTCTGAATATATAGTTACAAATCTGAATATATAGTTACAAATCTGAATATATAGTTATAACTCTGAATATATAGTTACAAATCTGAATATATAGTTATAACTCTGAATATATAGTTACAAATCTGAATATATAGTTATAACTCTGAATATATATTTACAAATCTGAATATATAGTTACAAATTTGAACATTCGAACATTTAGTTATAACTCTGAATATATAAATGCAAATCTAAATTTATATAAATATATCTTTAAATATATAGTTACAAATCTGAATATATAAATCTAAATCCAAATATGTAGTTATAAGTCTGAATTTATAGTCACAAATCTGAATATATATAGTAGAAAATCTGAATAAATTAATGTAACTCTGAATATATATTTACAAATCTGAACATAATCTAAATCCGAACATTTAGTTATAACTCTGAATATATAAATGTAAATCTGAAAATCTAAATCTAAATCCGGCCTTTATATAGTTATAACTCTTAATATATAGTCACAAATCTGAATATGTAGTTATAACTCTGAATATATATATATATATATACTATATAATATACAGTTTAGTTATAGTTATAGCTGTAAATATATAAACTAATATATATTAGTTTATATAATATAAATAATAATATTATATAAATTATATTTTATAAATTATAATATAATAAATTATATTATTATTTATTAATAATTTAATTATTAATATATATAAATTATATATAAACTATATAAAATATAGTAAAAAAGTTTTTTTCATTATTCATCAAAATATGAGCCAGATATATTCTTGGTGTGTTTTTTTCACCCATTTAAGTCCCACTAGATCTGTTTATTCTCTAGACCTTTTTGAGATCTTTGTAGAGTTCTAGATCTGTTATTCTCTAGTCTAGAGCTTTAGCATCCGTGTCCCGAAATAAAGAACATAAAGAACATCATTTATCCACAAAGAACCGTATATGAGAACGAATAACCGGACGCAGGCTTCTTCTCGAAGAAGTGGGTTCTTTAGCTGAAGACCCTTTATGTTCCCCAGCACAGTGTGTTTAGTGCTATATAGCCTCTGTGTGTCTATGAAGAGCCCATTATCTCAGGTACTGGAGTGAACGAGCTGCTCGAATGCTTCGTTGGATAATTTTCATCTTATTTCTCCTGTTCCTGAGGGTGATTTCTTCCAGGACGGCGAAGCGCTGACATTTAGCTTGAATGTCTAATTGCGTCCCCCATTAGCAGAGCTCTTCTGATGGAATAAACATGACTTTTTTTTTGTTTCCTGAGATCGGCAACCTTTATAAATAATTAGACACCTGGGCCGCATCTCGACTGGATGTTAAACACACACGCGCTCTTTGTTCTCGTTCAGAGTCGGTGTCAAGTGAGACAGACTTGAGGAACGTTCCTGCGAGAGGATGAAACGATAAACAAATGAGTAATAATCTCTCGCAGACACACACGCGTGTTTGAAGGAGGAGACGAACAGCATCTGAGGGGGGGATTCTGGGTGTTTCTGTGCATTTATGGCTTGAAACCAGTGACTTTTAAAAGAATAATAATAATAATAAATCACAGTCACTTATTTATACCGATTTAACCTTTCAGCTTGAGACGTAATGCTTTCCTTATTAGCTGTGTGTGTCCATATGTTAAACATAAAATATTACAGCATATCTTATGCATGTGAAGAGCTGCTGTTGTGTTCTGATTGGTTGTGATGTCACTTCCTGTCAGTGCCGGGTGAAGTTCCTCTGGAATCGATCCAGGCCAGTGTGTACGAGGAGAAGATCCTGCTGAAGTGGAGAGAACCGGCTCAGACCTTCGGCATCATCACTCAGTATGAGGTGAACACACACATTATCTCTTCTTTCAGATCTAGAAATTCAAACAATAAATACAGTTTTGTGGCTCTTTAATGTGTGGATCACTGAAGCCACATTACTACTAGTTATAGCACAAAATAGTCATGAATGAACATCAGAAGGTACGCTTTAAGATGTCAACGCAATACAAGTCCACCAGCGCTAATCGACTATCTCTGTCTGGTCTGGGCATAATATCTGCGTCACGATTGGTCAGATTGCCTGTCAATCAAACTCCTGGCGAATGGTGAATTAAGTTTTTCAGAATGTAGTTGTATGAAATTACTAGTCATCCAATTTTTCATATCGACTATGCAAACCAGTTTTGTGAATTGGTATGTTTCGTCGGGCCTTGAAGAAATATAGAGCTGAGTACACCGCAAAATATGTTTTTTACTTTTACTAGTATTCTTGTCTTGTTTCTAGTATCTAATATCTAATATAATTTTACTTATCTAGTAATCTTTTTCTTGGATTTAAGATATTAGATATTTGGACTGGAAACAAGACAAAAAAATACTAAGTAAGAAAAGCATTTTTTGCAGCGTATCGTTAGCGTAACTAGTTTCATGTTTTCAGTGTTGGGGAAGCTACTCTGAAACTGTAGTTTGACAAGCTACAAGCTACTCATAAGTTAAAGTAGTTAAACTACAGTCAAGCTACCTTTTGGAAAAGTAGTTAGCTACATTACTAGTTACTATCAAAAACTAGCTAGCTACATGGAAACTACTTTTGCCTTTTGAACAATGTTTTAAGTAAAATATTTAGTGTTTAAAATAATGCAATACAATTATGATCTCAAAGAGTATTGTTTTATTACACACAACACTCAAATATCTCGGCAAAAAATGAACAAAATATACATCGAACGTAAATTGCATGTAGAACATTTTCTCAAAAATACCGATTGAACTTGGACAAATAAGGCCATGGGTAATTAACGTTAGTTGTTTCTCCATCCTCCAAATCTGCCGTCACGTCTTGCTCCATCATCATGTGTGTGTCAACACACTTCTGTACGTCAGTGAACCGTTAGCCGCAAGACGCGTGATTAAACAACAGGTGGCGATAATGGCAAAAAATGAGTTTGTAATCTAACAAGAAGAATATCCTTGTATCAAAACGCAATATAGCTTTTGCTCGAGCTACACCGCTACTTGATTCAAAAAGTAGTTAGCTAATGGAAAAGCTACACGGTTTAAAAAGCAACTGAGCTACTGCCAAGCTACTGAAAAATGTAGTTAAGTTAGTAGCGTTAACTACTCCCCAACTCTGCATGTTTTCCAATATCTCCCGAGGGTAGCATGAAGCGAGTGTGTGTGTGCATGTGTAGCATGAACTGAGTGAACAGCAGCGGTCCCAGTACTGAGCCTTGTGGTACGCCATACTGAACTTGTGATCGATAAGACTTCGTATCTCTTCGTTTACTGCTACAAACTGATAACGGTCAGATAAATATGATTTAAACCGTGCTAATGCAATTCCACAAATAGTAACATAGTGTTCCAGTCTATTTAATAGACTTTTGTGGTCGATTGTGTCAAATGCAGCATTAAGATCGAGTAACACTAATAGAGAGATACGACCACGAGATCATGTGTGACTCTAACGAGAGCTGTCTCAGTACTATAGTACGCTCTAAATCCCCTCAGATATCATTTCCTTCAAGAAAGGAACAGTTGTGAGGATACTGCCTTTTCTAGTAACTGTGACAGAAAAGGTAGATTTGAGATCGGCCTGTATTTAATAAGAGGCTTAATAATAATCATCTTAAAGGGTTAGTTCACCCAAAAATGAAAATTCTGTCAGTATTTACTCACCCTCATGTTGTTCAACCCCGTAAGACCTTCGTTCATCTTCGCAACACAAATTAAGATATTTAAGATATTAAGATCGCTCCTGCATACTAGTCCATAGGCTTCTTGAGGGAATGACTCTTGCTGTCCTCAAAGTCATTAAAGACATCGTTAAAATAGTCCAAGTGACTACAGTGGCTCAATTTTAACTTTATCAAACGATGAGAACACTTTTTGTGCACAAAAACAAACAAAAATAACGACTTTATTGCAACTATTGTAGTCAGTTAACGTAGTGTGATTGCGTAGAGCTACGTCACACGTAGGCTCACTATTGGCCGACGCTGGTCATGTGTGTGATGCGTGTGACGTACAATAACAGAAGCTTACGCTATTAAACTAGTAACCTGACTCGCGCAGAGGGAGAAATAAACCAATAGTTGAAATAAAGTCGCACAAAAAGTGTTCTCGTCGTTTGATAAAGTTAAGATTGAGCCGCTGTAGTCACTTGGACTATTTTAACGATGTCTTTAATGACTTTTCGATGCCAGCAAGTGTCATTCCCTCAAGAAGAGGAGCGATCTTAATATCTTAAATATCTTAATTTGTGTTGCGAAGATGAACAAAAGTCTTACGGGGTTGAACAACATGAGGGTGAGTAAATACTGACAGAATTTTCATTTTTGGGTGAACATTTGACATTAGGAAGAGGATCTATGACCTCTGGAAGCATCTCTTTCAATGGCAGTCGGTTTAAGGTCTAACGTGTGTGTGTGTGTGTGTGCGCTACAGATCACATAGTCAGACGGGAATAACCGTACACTCAGTCGTCCGCGAGCCCGTCGTGACGTCCAGCCTTTGATTTGACAGTATCAAAGAGTTCAAACTGAGACTCTCTGACGGGCCGTGATTTCAAAAGGACAGTTTGGGCTTTTTTTCCTCTTATCAAGGGAACCCGATCCTTCCCTCCCGTTCTTTTCTCTCTCTCTCTCTCTGATTCCAGACGTTCTGCTCTTGTATATTTCCAGTGAGATTTCCCGTCCTCAGATTCTCCGTTCCTGTCCGATGACGTCAGTCTTCCCACACATCCCGGGTCTCTGGCTCTAGCAGTGATATGAATCTAATAGCTAATAGAGTTTATGAAACTGAGCAGAATATCCCCATATCAAAAAGTGTCTCGAATGCGGCGCTTCATTAACGCCGCTCGTCTTCAGCGTAATGAACAAAACCCTTCAAACACGGGAAACGAGACTCTTTCCCACTTTTTCCCTGCTCTGATCCGTCACGAGCGCGCATGTTGTTATTGATTTCTTTGATAATTGAAAAGGGCCTTGAAGCATTTCAGAAATAATAGAGTGGACTCGTCTGTTCGCTCGACGCTGGGATGCTAACACTCGACTAAAGACTTTTCTAGTCGACTCGAGTCGACTAATCGCGCATTATATTAATAAGCCATCAATCATAATAATGCGCCTGTTTAAAATACATATGGCCCAATCAGCGCTCAAATTCAAATTCAATGATATAAACTTATTGCTAATGTTTTCTGTGCGTTCGACTTCAGAGATTAACCCTTGTGCATCCTTGTGGACATTTTTGTCCTTTTCAGTTTTGTTTTTTTGATCACTTTGCCTGTGTTAAAGCTAACTGCAAAAAAACTTTGCACAGGTGTGTATTTTTATTGGAATTTTACTATTAAAAAAATATTTTTTGCATTAGGTACAAAAAATACTCCCTCTCAGCGCCTTTTGGACAAAAATGTCCCCATTGAAACCCATTAAAACTGCCATTTTTAATCCCCGGTTCAGTTAACTATAAAATTATGCAATCTTTGTTAAGAGGCTTTCATTCTGATGGCAAGGCTTCAAAATGTTATTTTTGACTATTTTTTATCAGATGGTGTCATTTTTTTAAAGTTTGGCCTATAAAACAAATGTCGCTTTATTCCTGTTTTCTGCTTCGGCATATTATAGAGCCAACTGGATAAATGATGCAACGATATTTGTGTGGGTGTGTTGGTATGGATGTCAGAGTGTGGTTAGTATGTGTGTTATAAAAAAACATGTGTGTGTGTGTGTGCGCATGTGTGTGTTTGTCAGACTGAGAGAGAAAAACTGCAAATTCAAATCCAGTCACTGTGAGCTCCAGTGGGGTTTTGCTGCCACCCAATGAGGAAAATATGTTACTACGCCCAAACGAACTGTTACCAAAAGCTCATTTTTTGAGATATCATCCTCAAATTTGGAACACAACCTATTTAGATTTATGGCTTTGATTTTATTGTAGTTTTGAGTTCAACCTGATTTAAAAAATATATATTTTATTTTCATAAATTTTCATAAACTTATACCTATATAACTTTTTTTTTTGGATTTACTTATTATTATTTTTTTACTTCAGCAATAATCTGCAAACGGTCTTCTTTAAAATGATACCAAACTTAAGTCTGTGCTCCGAAGCGTCACATTTTTATCACAGTTTTTTGACATGGACATTTTTGTCCTATTTTTACCTATGTGTAACTTTTTTTAATTGATGCACAAGGATTAAGCCAATATGCACGTTTCATACGGATTACATAATCTGACAATATTTATTTTCCGCTCGAATCTGTTTATTTAAACGTAGACATGTCAAGCTTTGGTGAGGCGAGTATTCGCTGAGTTTTGGTTCATTTTTGTGACGCGCTAAACACCTTATTGAAGGTACGCTTTAGGACGTCAACACGCCACACAATACAAGTCCACCAACGCTAATCGACTATCTCTTTCACCTCATCTTACTTTCCATAAGATCATCTTTCAACGCAAATCAAAGCAGCTATTAGGCTAACTGAAGTAAAACCATGCCAATCTCTCGGTGTGGTGGAAGGTGTGTGATGATGTGGGGATATTTAAGGGAACTTTATCAGGATACATATTATCCTGGATCCATGAAATAACTGGCTTTTAAAAATAAAAATCTGCCTGACTCTATGGGAATTTAACCCTGACTTATGCACCCTGTATTTTAAGGGAAAACATTTATTTATTTATGAAACATTATTCATACACAAAGAAAATTGGTGTCCTTAAAGGTTGGAGTTTTCCTCATTTTTCTAATTAAGGCATTAAGATCAATATCCAAAAGATGATTTTTTATTCCTCTTTTTAGGCAACTTTAGCATGGGGGTCCAAACCTCTTCTCCTGGACTGACGGTTAGTGGGCAGCTTTACTAACAGGCACGTTTGTGTTCCCAGATCTCCTATAAAGCCGTCAGCTCCTTCGACCCAGTGCTGGATCTGTCTAACCAGAGCGGGAAGGTGGTGAAGATGGGGAACGACACCAGCCACGTGTTCCTGGGTCTCTATCCCGGTTCCACGTACTCCTTCAGCCTCCGCGCGAGCACCGCTAAAGGCTTCGGGCCGCCCGCCGTCACACAGGCCACAACCAAGATCTCAGGTCAGGGTCGCCAGACAATCCCAGTCCAACACTGGAGAAACTTCAATGATTTTAGTATATATTAGTTCGATAATGCCTTTTATTGATTATTTTGTATTTTTAGGGGATTTTATGGCACTAAATGATATTTACGCTGTGTTTATAATCCATTTATATACTTCTGAGCACAGACCTGAAAATTACGTTTCCGACTTAAATCTTGGAGCGACAGACTGAAGTTTGATCTCTTGTTAAAGACGACACTTGGCAGATTATTGCTGAAGCGAAAAAAGATTTAAAAAGAGAAACTTGAGACTGAAACTACAACTATGAGAGAGACTAGTTTAATGAACAGAAACTGTAAATGTTATGTTTAGCTATGTTCGTGTCAGCGCCATCTAGGCACTCCATCAGAGGAAGCGAAGACGTGCGTTTGTGTTCTTGCATGATAACTCTAGTGTTTCGAGATGCTGTTTCAAATCATTTGAATGTTTTGGCTTTGTGTGTGTGTGTGTGTGTGTGTGTGTGTGTGTGTTTGCAGCTCCGTCGATGCCGGCGTACGATCAGGAGTCGCCTCTGAATCAGACGGACAGCAGCGTCACGGTTGTGCTGAAACCGGCCCAGAGTCGCGGCGCTCCTGTCAGGTAAACAACAATAATAATCATATATTCATATATATATATATATATATATATGAGACCCTGGTCAAGAGTCGCACGGGTGTTTCTGTGGCTATAGCCAACAATACTGTACATTATCCATCTTTCTTTTATGCCAAAAATCATTTTATCACAACATATTTTCTTTTGTCAAATCAACTTTATAATAATTTATTTAGTTCAGATAACTTATTATTTTGAGTTTCTGATGGTTAAATTAATCTCCTTCATTGTATTAACTCACTTTTTCCAGTTCAATCAACTTAAAAATTTTAAGGCAACCCAGGTTACTTACTTTTTTAAGTTAAACCAACAATATTTTTTACAGTGAATCACAACATTTTTTCTTTTGTCAAATCAACTTAAATAATTTATTTAGTTCAGATAACATATAATTTTGAGTTTCTGATGATTAAATTAATCTCCTTCATTGTATTAACTCACTATTTCCAGTTCAATCAACTTAAAAATTTGAAGGCAACCAGGTTACTTACTTTTTAAAGTTAAACCATCAATATTTTTTTACAGTGTAAGATATTTTGTAAAATTCTAATTTTTGTGAGTGGATGCAGCAAAATCGCGAACATAAATGCACGACTTTAAAGGAGATTTCTCAATGTTTAGTTTTTTTTTTGATTTACAAATAGTTAGTATCGGCAAATACACACACACACACACCATACATCAATGGAAAGCTTATTTATCCAGCCTGAAGATTATGTATAAATATCTATTAAAAAAAAAAAAACAAGCAGCAATAAAAAAGCAAATGAAATAAATAAAAAAAAAATTACAATAGCCTTTACAACCAATATGAGATATATATATATATAGGATATGACAGTATGCCTGCCTAAAAGTATGCGTGTTCAAACTAGATTGATGAGATTACGGCTGATCTGCTCTCAAAATGTTTCTCAAAAACAACAAATCCTGTTTTTACAGAGGAAAACCGGCAGCTGTGGTTGGCTGAACAATACTGTGAAATACAGTAAACATATTCACAGAGCAACATATAAAACTGTAATTTACAAAGCTCATCATAAGTAGCTTTTCCACAAGTTGAAGAAAAAATAGTATTATATAGAAGCTGCACAAATATACACACACACGTCATTAAAATGAACACTTTCTTTCAACAAAATAAGATATAACACTGTAATGTACATAAATGATAAGAAGAGAAATTACGAAGGAACATAATTATGAAAATGAAAAAGTTGAAGTGGATTTTGACCATATTATTAAAGGTTTAGTTGCCATGGCGTAGTTGTGTTTGTTGATTTGTGATAATAACGCAATAAAACATGACAAACTGTGCGACATCATTTTTGTCCAAATGCATAAAAAAGAGAGAACCAAACAAATATTAATAACTGATTATGTTGTTGTCAGTGTTTGCTTTTTCATCCCAGCTTTTTGTTTACTTTTTGCATAATAAAATAAAATCTGAAATTTGACTTTTATTATAGATTTTTTTCAGATTAAGTTTAGTGTTTTAATTTTTTTACAATACTCTCCTCATATACTGATGGTTTAATCGAACTTATAGCGTCATTAAAAACAAATATACACTCCAGCCGCTACTTTAAGATGACCCCCCCCCACACACACACACACACACACACAAAAACGGTGCATTTAACAGTATTTTACTGTAAACTTGCATGAATAGGTATAGCAGAACTAATTGGTTAACCGTAGCATTTTTACAGTTATCACTACAGTGGTATCTTACAGTGCATGTGAAGCAGAAGTGTGTGTGTGTGTGTGTGTGTCAGCTGGCTGTTTTGATGGTATTTTTCCCGCTGTATTGTTTGTGGATTCCTCCGAGTGAGCATCAGGCTTTGAAGCGGAGAACAAAGTGTGTGTGAGTGTGTGTGTGTGTGTGTGTGTGTGTGTGTCCCTGAACCGCTTTCATGTGTTTCTCCTGCCGGTGTCACATCGGCCCCTGAACGTCCCCGCGCTGAACACACACTCACCGCACCACGCCGCGCGCGCTCAGGTGAACGTGTCCGAGAACACACACAAATAAACCAGAAACAGCACTTTATAGATCTGACTTCTGTAAATGAAGATTTCTGCATTATTGTTCTGACATCTAAAGCTGGAATCTCCTCTATTGTGTCGTATATCGAGTGAAGCGCTTCAGGAACAAGAACAGAAGTGGGCGGGGCTTGATTGTGTTTGTGAGGAATTCATTGGACGGTTCTGGTTTGCTATTGGCTGATCTCATGTGAGTGACAGGTTGTAGCCCCGCCCACATCATCAGAGAAGAGAGAGATGCTGAAGAGGAACTGATTCTGATCAAGATGACCAACACAATAATGATGATGTGCGCTGAAATACACTTTGATTCCATGGTGACTTTAGTTTAGACACATTTAAACAGGGTTCAACAAGTGGAAGCCAATGTTTGACATTGTTTTTATTGCTTTGCTGCACTTTATTATGATTTATTATTTAATATTTAAATGGAAAAATAGATAGATCATTTGATATAGATAGATAGATAGATAGATAGATAGATAGATAGATAGATAGATAGATAGATAGATAGATAAAATCATATTTAATATATTTAATGTTAATTATTTTGTACATATAAAAACACACACATGCATGAATATATTTCAGAAAAATATGTTATTTAAATATAAAACATTTATATTTATAATATATATAATATTAATTATGAATATATATATATATATAATATAATATTATGAATATATATATATATATATATATATATATATATATGTACAGTATATGCATGCAAATATTTCTTAAATATATACAGGCATGTGTGTGTATTTATATACAAAATAATTATACACAGCACACACACACACATATTATGTAAGCACAAACTTTTATTTAGAATGCAATTAATTGTTTCCCAACACTAATATATATATATATATATATATGAGTTGACCTAACTTGAATAAATAAAGTCTAGTGATGCAAATCCCTCAAATATTGTGTCAAATTTCACAGTTTTGCATTGAAAATATGGTTATGTATATAATTCATGTAGTTCATAACTGAATGTATCGAGACAAAAACATGAACAGAGCGTTTTCATCATATTAAGATTAAGATTGAATATGCGCATATTCATAAAGAAAAACATTGCAAATACTTTACAGTACATGTTCGTTCTTATCTCGTTATCTTAAATCCCTTTAAATCCTTTCATTTAGAAGAACTAAATACACAAAGAATAGCCCATGTCCAAACCAGTTTACGGCCTTATTAAAATCTGTGTATGATGATGATGATGAAGCCGGAGCATCAGAGCGCTGGGTTATTAATATTGCAGATGTGTAGCGTCGCCATGTTCACCGCGTAATCTCTGCCGGATTACATCATCATCATCATCATCATCATCTCATCAAATCATCTTTACCTCCGACGACTCAGAACAGGAGAACGACAACAGCAAGATTTGATTATTGTGATCTAATCCCTCCGTCTGTGATTGTGTTTTCAGGAGACCAGGTCACGGGTGTGTGTGTGTGTGTGTGAGGTCAAGGGTCACTTCGGCACGCTGCGGGTGTCTTTTAGGCTGCTGGGGTCAGAGGTCAAACTCAGGGTCATGTGACATCAGAGCCGATCTCACTCACAAAACAGTTCATGGCAACACTTCACACTGAGAGCTACATAATTAATATTAATAATGCATTATTATAATCAAAGGTTAGTGATAAATCAAGCGTTTATGCATCTTTCTAAAGGAACTACTCATTATTGTATCTTCATATGATATGCAAATATTGCTGTTAAAGGTATATTTATTTATGTAAAAATTAATTTGACAAAATAATAATCTAAAATAATACAATTGACAATAATCCTATATGTGCAAAAGAGCCCCATTACTCCTGTGTAACAAATTTGACAAAATAAGTGAGAACGGTAAACTGGAATGTGTGTATATTAATTAGGGCTGTTAAACGATTAATCGCGATTATTCACATCCAAAATAAAAGTTTGTGTTTACATAATATATGTGGGTGAACTGTGTATGATTACTTTGTATATATATAAATACACACACATGCATGTATATTTAAGAAAAAATTATATTTATATATAATATAAATTATATATTTATAAATCTATATACATGAAAATATTTCTTAAATATATACAAGCATGTGTGCGTATTTATATATATAACATAATTATACACAGTGCACCCACATATATTATGTAAACACAAACTTTTATTTTGGATGCGATTAATCGTTTAACAGCGCTAATATTAATAATATAATCATAATAATAATATAGAGTGAGAGATTGCGCTGAATAGGATTGCATATAATTTTGTTCTGCACTTTTTTTGTATAATGACAAATACAGATTCAGATTCTGATAGTAATGATTAAAGTGTTTTTAAATAAAAAATATCAAAATCTCACAATAACTTCAGTCAATATGAGGGAGTTATCATAATCATGTTTTCACTTTAGATGCTGATCCAAATTATTAGTAGTTCCTTTAAAAGGATGTAGAAACTCTTGAGTCGTTACTAGTGGGTTACTGTTACATTATTATAAATTATGCTTTATTAATATTAATTATGATCCTCTATAGTAGCTGTCAGTGACGTATGAATAATAGCAGTTATGATTAGCCAATAGTGAACGTCCACATCGCTGACGCTGGCGTTAATCACAGTGTTACGAGTGTGTTACTCGCTAATGAAGGACCCGCGTTAGAAAGTGTTACGGTTTACGTGCCGCTAGCATGCGTGTCGAAGCGCTGCAGTGTGTGTGTGTGTGTGTGTGTGTGTTTATGAGCCGCTAGTGGAAACACTGTGAGATAATTATGGATTGTGAGCGTCATTAAAGCAGAAGACGTTACAGTCTGATGATCGCGAGTGTGTGTGTGTGTGTGTGTGTGTGTGTGATTAGCCGCTCAGCAGATGTTAGCCATTGATACGGGCCTGAAGAAACACATCAGAGCCGAGA